TGGTGTATGGAGATAATTGTTTTGTTAGAGATAAAAGTAGAAAGTTTTAAGTGTTTGTGGACTGTTAAGTTTTAGTAAGTTGTGATATTGTAAAAATTTGTTATAGTATAAGTTTTCCTCAATAGGTGTAGAAGTATTGGAGGCTGAGGATAGTTGGATGTCTTCTGTAAAAGTGCTCACCATATATTTGGTTTTCACAGTTGCAGAGGATATCAAAGTCTGCTCTATACGTTGAGTCTGACTATTATAATATTGGTCCTTCATGTAAATAGACTTTTCCACTCATCTACTTACTACATTCTCTTCTAAAAATGGCCTACTTGAAGTGGAATACATCATTATTTTAGAGGCAGTAGTTATAAAACCTGTTTCAATTCTAGCTGAAGTAATTAAATATAAACAAGAAATAGATCTATATGATATAGATTCTTTTAATTACTTTAAAAGAAATTTAATAGATTTTTAGGAATTTACTAGTAGTATAAGCCCTGAATTAGCAAAAGTTGCAATTTGTATTCATAGTATTTGCATTAATTTAGCTTCTGTAGAATGCTTGTAGTCATTAATAGAGCTACTCATACAAACTTATGAAATTGACTAGAGATATATATATATATATATTTGCTATATTACTAATATAAATATATACAAACTAATCTTGTATAGAAATAGCCAAAAAAAGTTTTTACAATGAGCCAAATTAGAAGTGATATTTTACAAGCTCATAAAATAAAAGAGGCTAAAGAATATAAATATAAAATACAAAGACTTTATATAGCTATACTAATTATATCTAATAATGAAATTATAGAATCTAAATTAAATGATGTAAAGCTTGTTATCAAGTTAGTGATAATAAAGAAAATTTTACAAATAATAATAAAAATATAATAACTAGAGAAAAACAGAAGTAGAATCAGTTAATTCAAGATTAGATAAATTTGAAGATTCAAGAAAATTAATTTAAAGATCAAAATGATCAAATTTTTATTTCACTAGAATATGATTATAATTTTGAAGTAAAAAATTGAGAAAAATATCCTGCTAATAATATGTCAGCTAGAAATATTATTTATTTCTTCTTTAGAAATGCTTTCATTTTTAGGTTTAGATTTTATTTTTACTGTTACAAAATAAGTAAATAATATAAATTTAGGAGTAATATATAATAATGATATATTTTTTTTTAATATATACTTATTATTAACTAATACATATTATTTATAGGTTAAAAAATAGCATAAGTTGTTTTAAAATCATTAAACTTATACTCAAATACTAAATTTAAACATATAAGTTAGATATTTCTTAATTTTATAAGTTGACTAAAATCAAACATTAATTGGTTTTTTTTATATATTATAAATTATTTGAATTTTTAGTATATTGTATTTTGTTTGATATATATTTATATTAAAGTCTGAACTACTTTAGTTATATATTGCTTTTAAACTCAATTTATTTTCAATCAAAAGTCTTTTGATATTAAAAGGACTATTTAGGCTTAGTATTATTAATATTATAATTGATCAAATGTCTTATGATATTAAAAAGACTATTTAAATTCATTTTATTATTATTAATATCAATTTGATTTATTTATTTTATATGTATATAGTAAATAAATATTAAATCAGTAATTTTATTATTTACTACAAATAGCTATATTAAATATTCCTCAAATAGATATACTATATACATATTTATTGTGTACAAACTAATAGTACAAAAATATAAAAGTATTACTTTTGTCTTCAATAAAATAACTCAGCTTAGCTAGAGTATAATACTTAAAATATTTTGCTCTACTATTTTATTTAGTAATATTGTTTTAGTTATTTTATCTAAGTAAAAATTTTTACTTGAATAACATAGTATTTATTCAAATTAACTTGGATATTTAATAATATTTGAGTAGTGATTTTTTAATGAGTACAAATTCTATATTATTTATCTTGTTTAATTAAATAATATTTACTGCTATTTTATTGATTAATTAATAATCATAGTCATATAGTCATATAATCTATATTATGACTATATGATCTATGACTAGTTATATAAGTTATGCAGATCATAATAGGTCATAGTCCAATACTAGCAGATATAGCAGTATAGTATAGAACTAACAGATAGTTAATTGACTGTATAGTGGACTACTTAAATTAGATAATAACTAAAGTTGTATATATAGCTTGTTATATACTCATAATATAACTATAAAACCTTAGGAGATTACTACTATAGTAATTTTGCAATAATAAATTTTTTTTATTTTTTTTAATTTTTTTTTTTACTTTATACAAATGCTATTAGCTAAACTTTATTAATTTAATAAATTTCAGAAGTAATACATATTGTGAGAGTACAACTAGCTACATATACAATTTTAGGTTATTTATTTTAAATAGTCTGTCTGAAGGTTCTACACTAGCTGCTATACCTAAAATCTCTTAGAAGATTTCTTATTTAAACTCTCTGGCTCTATCTCATTTATCACAAATATTACTCTTTATAGTTAACTATAACCCTATGCTACTCCACTTTGGAAGGTACTCAGATTGACATTAGTTACAAACTTTATTGTTATAGGTCTAGGTCTTATCTAAATAAGTCTTACTTCAATGCCCTCTAACAGATAAGTGTCATAATACCCAACTATACTATGCTATATTCTAATCTATCTTGCATATACCCTTATTTGATGTTCATACAAACCTGGTTCTAGCTATAGCCCTCTACAAGTTTAGACTTCTGAATGTTTCATGAGGTAGATCTTCCTAATCTAGTTAGCTACCAAGCCAAATTGATATTGCTACTAAATACAAGGCATCAGACTATATTACACTGTGAACTTACTTGCATCTACTCAATTTGTACTCAGAAAACCTTAGCAGATCAAGCATTAACTAGCATGACTGTTGAAATCTGTACTACTTCATCTAACTCAGGATTTCTACTATACAGATCCTCTGCCTGTAGATCCTATCTTGATTTATTCATGTAACACAACTCCAACATTCTGTTATACTTCCAATGTCCAAACAACATTAGTGCAATATGATTTACAGAGTTACAACTTCTAGAAACAAACAGAGTTTACTGTAAGTTGAATACAGATGTCTAAGTAATTATTCAATTCTGTTGACAGTGGGATTTGAATCCTAGACTTCTTGCATGGTGGTCTGACAACTTATTCACTATACTAGATTACCAGACCTTGTAATAATAAATTAATAAAATCTAATCAGTAAAGGAATCCACTTTAATAATAATAAAAAAATAAAAATAACTTAATAAAAAGTTATTAAAACTATATTAAAATTTTCAAGATAGATGTAATTTGTTCTTCTGAATAACTTTACTTAATATGTAAATATCAATTAACTTAGTAAAATTTTAACTTTTATATGCATTTATAACTATCAATTAGTAAAATCTTAATATTCAATATCTTTTATATTAGCTATCTAATCAATAAAATTACTTCAAATGCAAATGATCCAAATGACCTAATGACTCAAATGACTCAGTTATTAAAATTTTGTGTAAATAACAGGTCATTTACTATCCTTGTCTAGATGTCAATTTATATTTGAGACAGTAAAGTAATCTTGCTCTAAATATAAATTAGAATATGAACAATTTAAAAATAAAAATTAAACAAACTTTAAATAAAATTATATTGATAACTACTTTACTAAATTTAAAAAACTTTTTTTTATTTGAATTCTATAGATCTGTAGAATTCAAATAAAAAAAATTCATCAAATTTGATCAAGTGGTTGCTTGAGATAACATCACTCAAAGTTAGTAAACAATTCAAATTATCAAAAAAAAAATTTTTTCTAAAACTTTGAAGATATCTCGACAACCACTTCACCAAAATCGATTAAAAATTTTTTCTATAGATCTGTAGAATTCAAATAAAAAAATTTTTTTTATCGATTTTGATGAGGGGTTGTCAAGATATCTTTGACCAAAGTTTTGATAAAAATTTTAAACCATCTATTATAAAGAAACTGCATCAAATTTTTTAACAAAACTTTGAATGAAAATATCTTAGCAACCTCTTAATCAAATTCGATAAAAAATTTTTTATTTGAATTCTACAGATCTATAGAATTCAAATAATTTTTTTTTTATTAAATTTGGTTAGGTTGTTATCATGCTAATTTCATTTAAAAATTTACTTTAATTTTATTTTTTAAATTGTTTGTTTATAATCTAATTTATATTTGAAGCTAGATTACTATCCATTGAGTATGTAGTATCACACACGGATACAGCGAGTCTGTCGCTCAATCTTCAAGTTCTCGTGTAATGGATCACGATAACTTATCGAAAGTAGGCGTAGTGATTAGGCAAAGGGAATTCCAAGGCTTTGGTTATCATTCAGACTCTGATCATGTGGTTGGTCTTAACGTTATTGATTCTCTTAACTTCCCTTAATCTATTCAAGTTGACCTATTCACTCTCTTAGGATAGTCAAACACAAGATTCAGCGGGCAAGTTCTCTTTCACAATAACTTAATGACACTTTACACTTGTTCAAAGAGTAAATTAAGCAGCGTAATGTTATACGGGTATAAGTTTATTAACTTAGCGAAGTGTGGTTGGAATTATTAGCAGATTTATGGGTCAAAGGAAGGTTTGAGATAATTTATTGAAGACAGAATGTTTTTCGGCAGTGCGATATCTTTATTGAAGAGCAGAAATACTCTGCTTATATAGACTTTACAACAATGGGATTGCGTATAAGTCTTATATGTCTTTTAGCTCCTATTGCTCTTAAAAGACATATAAGACCTATCGCTCTTATAAGACTTATAACTCCTATCGCTCCTATAAGTCTTATAGTACTTTTAAGACTTATAACTCTTATCGCTCCTATAAGTCTTATAATACTTTTAAGACTTATAACTCCTATCGCTTCTATAAGTCTTATAGTACTTTTAAGACTTATAACTCCTATCGCTCTTATAAGTCTTATAGGAGCTATAAGATCGATAGCTCCTATAAGCACGGGATCCCTAAAAAGTCAAGGATTGACATAGCCGTGAAATTGTGCTGCGGCTTGTCCAAATGACCTCAGGCGAGATCCGGCCTGGTTACTTTTCCCAGTTCACAGTAGTTAGTGATGCATGACGGCTTTTCAGAGCCATGAGCCGATCAATTTAGCCGAGCTAATTAACAGCTCAGCTTAAGAACAGCTCGGCTAACTAACGGCTCAGCTTGTGCTACGTTGAGCCGATTTAGAGCCATGGAGCTGATTATCAAGCTATAATCTATCGATCATTATAATAATGATATTTGAAAAAATTGGAGCTGCGGCCCTTGATCGGCTAGCTACAAAAATTCAATTTTTCTAGTCATCTAATGGTCCATTTTGAATAAACTTTTTTTTATTTTGTAGAGTCAAAAAAGTTTTTTAAACAAAAAAAAGTTTATTCAAAATAAATTACTGGATAACTAGCAAAATTAAAATTAGATCACAAATTTTACATAGTCCCGTAGGGTCATTTTCAAGGCAAAGACCCCATATATTACTGTATTATAAACATGATTTTGACAAATAACCACCCACCTACTTCCAAATATCAAAAACCACCACAAAATCTAAGAATCTAATAATAAACATTCTTTCGAATCAAAAGGAAGAATTCAAATATTTAAGAACATTTACCAATAACACTTTCCTTAAAAGTAGAATAACTATACAGGGTGGGTTTTCTTATTGATTACTTGTCGATTTAGAAAAATTTTATAGTAAAAATTTTTTAAATAAAAACTTTAAAGTTTTATTGCTTAAAAAATTTTTAATAATTTTAAAAAAATTTCTTAAAGATTATAAAATATATTTTCTGAAAATATTTTATAATGAAAGTATACCTCATATTCTTAATAAATTTTTTGGTTTATTTAAAATATATGTTAAAAATAGTAATTAATATCAATAAACAAAATTGTAGCTAAGCAATTCTTCTAATTTAATTCTTGTTGATAAATTAAATTTATTTAAGGATATTCGATTGGTAATAGTGGTATTGTTATAATGTCTATAGTAAACTAATACACTACGATGTTTTTCTAGGATATCTCTTAATTTTGGTGTTGGTGATTTAACTTTATCAAATTCTTTTCGAATATCTTCCATATCAAACGATGTATTATCCTTTTTTTGTAAATCACATAATAATTTAAAAAGTGAATTGGATTTGATTTTTTTCTGATAATCAAAGTATAATTTAGATGCTCCAATTTCTTTGAGTATGAATGAGTATTTTTTTTGACATTATTTGATACATTTCTTTTTAATATGATGAACTTTCATATTGATATGTTTTATAACATTCGTCTATTTCACTATTATATTGAGAATTAAAGTTTTGATATAAATCTAAATCAACTTACTTAATGTCATTGAGTAACGATGAACATTCTCCTGATATATTTGTATATAAATCTTTATAAAATAATTTCTCTTCTTGGGGTGGGTAATTTCCTTATCAATATTCTTAGAACATTGATAAATTTTCGGTATTAAATTTGTATTTAATTTTTTTAAATCGAATGTCATTTTTTTTTACTATTAAAGATTTAAGTCCTGAATATTTATAAAAATTTTTTTTTTTGAACAAAGCAATTAATATTATTTGTTTACTAGGAATAATAATTATTTAAAAGATAGTATCTCAAGTTTAGTACATTTATCACTTTTAACTAAAAGTTTTTTGAATTGTTACTAGAAAAAAATTTGGAATACAATTAAAAACTGTAATTCATTAATTGAGTTGATTAACTACTTTAAAAAGTATTGTAAAATTTATTCATTTAATTACAGACTCCTCAACAATGTTGTTAAATAAATTAATTAAAATAAATTTTTAATAAAATAAATTTAGGATTATATAATTTAACGCAGGTGCGTCATAACGCACCCCCTGATCGACCAATCAGAATTCAAGATCAGGTGTAACGTGAAAATCAAAACAATAGCGATTTTTAAAGAAATCGCCTGTAACTCAATTTTGGGTTAGAAACGTTTCACTATTGCCCTTCCCTAACCCTAATGTAGCTACTGACCCTAACCCTAAACTAACGCGAAAAGGGTTTGTTTTGATTTTCACGTTACACGATCAGGTGCAACGCACCTGCGCAAAATGATTAAATCCATAAATTTATATATTTTAGTATTTTAGGTAGATGTTTGCACGTCCGTAATTTGTGACAGGTTAAGCCACTAATTTCAATCACCATCTGACTACCTATATTCAGTGTTAAATATCTGAAATTTTTTTTTTGTTTTCTGAGAACATAAAATTTAAATTTTAGGTTCTCAGAAAGATTTTTAATGTTCTCAAAAAATTAT